TAGGTGTGTGTGTGTGTGTGTGTGTGTGTGTGTGTGTGTGTGTGTGTGTGTGTGTGTGTGTCCGCGAGAACACGAGCAGGTAGGGAAATGATCTTTGTCCTCTTCGGTAGCTCTCCGCCTCCTCATAGCCTCGTCACCAAGTCAACCAGCACCAACTTAGAGCACATTATCTCCAAGGGTCAACACGTCTCAGCCAAGCTGCAGAGAAGTCTCCCAAACTACCCTGTCGGGAATCAATGCGTTCGCTATCGGTCGCTATATTGATAGCATTGTGGTCTTCCGCGGCGAATACCCAGCAATGTCTTTATTCACTCCAGGACAGGGAAAGATTGCAGAGAAGGCAAATCTTTGCCTCTTTTCACTGTGTCTGCCACAAGATTGCTTCACAGATGGTCTTTTTCCCTAAGGAACATACACATGTACACACTCCTGTCTCTACAACACACACACACACACACACACACCTACTTCTGTCTATCCACATCTGTGTGCCCACACACATAGGTCTACCACATCCATATAGCTATACTCACAAGTACACACAAACACATTTTGCAATTTGAATAGCACCGCATCCAAAAAAAAAAAGACGTTAGGATTCACCCCTTGCAAAGAGGTTGTGAAATATTAACAACACACGACAATAAGGAGTGAACATGAAAGGGACACAGAATGTCTACCCAACTTTTCAAGCAAATTTACCTACCTACTGACAACATTTTTCCTCAATATTTGGGAAGAGGGCTGTGATATTGTGTGTGCTGTGTTAATCAACTGCGCATATCTAATTGTGTGCGAGAATATCTATATCCGTGTGTGTTTATGTGATATCTGTGTGGTTTTGCTGATAGATGTGTCTGTGTGCGTAGACAGAAACAGTTACACAGAGATATACAGAGTCACCTGAAAACGCAGAGTTCTGACTTCCCCGGTTTGTAAAAGGCAATGAACCAGAGGCTAGTCAATGTGCTTTGAGAAAGGATTCGTTTTCGTTATCACTTGAATTCTTGAGTCCCACGTCGAAGTAAGTGACAATGTGATAAGCAGCGAGTGGCCTTCCTAATCTAACTCACACACGGAGATAGGGTTTCCCAAGTTAGAGGTTTAAAATTCAACAATCCTGGGCACTTTTTGTTGATTGAGCCTAGACAAACTTTAGTGAAAGCACAGCCACCTGCACTATCTTGAAACCTATAATACACACCCGGACTCTCTCTGCCCCCGCCCCCTATATCTGTCTTTCTGTACACACCGTAGGTACAGAAACCGCAGCGATACATTGCGCAATGTGAGTAACAGATCCTAAAAAACCTCACCTCCCCCCAAACAGTGGTGTTTAATTCCCACTCACACCCCCTTTCACACCCAGGAGGACACATGCCCCGGTGTGATGCGCTACGTGTCAGTACTGTGAAGATGCTTGCAGCAGAACCGGCGCTTCCAGCCCTCCGAGGAAAGCGAAAGAAGCTCACCCACCCCAGCCACCGAGGGCTTCTTCTTATGGGAAACGCCCCGCCCAATGGGGAGCTGAGGCAGGCTCACGTGGGAAGAAGTGGCGCCTATGGGGAGGCAACCCTCGGCCGGCCCCGTCTCTGTTTCATCATCTGCTCCCGCAGGTGAAGCGGACCTGTCAAAGCAGACGTACAACCTGCCCGGAGTGGGAGCACCTGATGTTTCACTAGCTAAGGTCCCCTTCTAGCCATGAACACTGAAGAACAGTATTATGCATCGACCCAGCTCTACAAGGATTCGTGTGCGTTTCAGAGATCCCAGGCACAGGATTATAACCAGAACCCCCCAGCCTGCCTGTACATGGGCAGACAGCAGCAGACACCCTACTCTAGTGCTTTAGGTGCGCTGGAACAAGGCAGCCCGCCAGACATTTCACCCTACGAGGTACCCCCCATTACAGAGGATCCAGGGGTCTCCCATCTTCATCACCATCACCACCACCACCCTCATCACCCTCATCCCCACCAGGAAGCTATTCCTTTTGCAGATGGGACTGTCACTGGGGTTTTAGAGGAACCTAGAGTTCAGTTGCCTTTCCCATGGATGAAATCCACCAAATCTCACGCCTGGAAGGGACAATGGACCGGTAAGATAGTCGCCTTCTTCTGCTGCTGCTGTTGCTTCCTCTCCTTCTGTCTTGTACAATATCAAGAAAACCTTCTCATCACTAATAATTTCCCTTCGGGTTACTAAATGAAGCCTACATTTGGGATAGCCCCGTGTGTGATCACTTTCAGAGAGAGGCTTAGGGAAATTCCCTATCATTTGTTAGCTGTTTCACTAGGAAGTAAGCCAGGCTCGCAAGATTTCTCCTGTAAATGTTTCTTCTCTTCCACTTCCATAAAATTCCTGTTTTAGGAAGTGTTGGGGTCAGTTTGGCATTAGCAATAGCACCAGTTTTAAATGGGGATGTATTTCAATGTCCTGAGATCTATGAGTCCATTTTCTATTTCAAACCTGTATGTATAGTATAGTCTGGCAACTCTTGTATAATATCAATAAGTACCCTGTATCCAGAAATATGTACCCAGTTCTGATACCTTTAATGAAGCCATCGCATTTCAAATCAGTAAGAAAGACAAGCTCAGGAATAAATCTCAACCGCCTTCAGTTTTCTACTGGGTGAAGGCAAAGTGATTGCAATTATACTTACTCCTTATATAGTTCTTTACTGTTGCAAAGCACTGAACAAATATTAACTAATTAGTTTAACTAATTAACTAATTAGCACTAAGTATCAGGCTGAAGTTGATACTTATCTAAGCTAAACACACAGGGTGCTGCTGTTTCAACTCACCTGACCAGGTGCTTATTGTCCAGGGATTTATACTGATCTCACTGCCAGTTTGTTAGTAGTAAATTCCATCTGGTCACTGGGAAATACTAAAGCTGTTGGGACACTGTCCCGTGGTAGCCAGCCCAAAACTTCCCTTGCAGTCAGCGGGGTGTGCAAAGAATGCAAAGCGGAGATCCATGCTTAACAGAAGGGATAAGGGAAACACAAGGACCCCCATCTTGCTCCATTTGTAGACAGTGAAGGTGAAATCCTGGCCCTATTGAAATTAATGGGAGCTTTGCCTTTTGACTTCAGTAGGGCCAGGAGTTCACCCGGAGAGCTGTACCATTAACGTCAGGATCTGATTCGGAAAATGCAGTTTTTGCCACTTGTATCAGTACTCGCGGGGCAGAGGGAGCGCCGGATGGGAAATGGACAACTTCCAGTGGGAATGCCCAGGGTTACTCGCAGTCAGATCCTACGAAAAGGCCACGTTGTGCCCTCGCTTTGAGACTCCCTCGTTGATTTCACTGCGTAAACACCATAGCCCAGAATGTCCCGCAGATCTCACCGCCAAGTTGCTGTCTGAAATGCCCTTACAATATAGAGTAAAATAAAAGACACTTTGAAAGTAATATTAAACGCTAAATCTTTTAATAAATAACGCCACAACCCCGCCTACCTGGCCGTTCAGTTCTTGTCTGTATGCGATTGTTTTAGCCTTACTTATGTCTTACTGTGGAAACTTTTTAAACCTGGGTAGGGGACACAATACACAAACTGAATTAGCTGCCTGCCAGCAAGAGGAAGAAACTCTCTCTGGACAGAAAGTTCCGTTGTAGAACAATATTTCTGTCTCTCGCTGCACAATGTTATCTTGCCCTGTGCCTTGTGCACTCTTTGTCACACCTCTACAGCAAATATTACATTAAAGGTTGTGTTCAAACAGACAGTTGAAAAGGTAGTGAAATATTGAAATAATGCTGAAATATTCTGGTAATTACGTTAAATTGAAAACAAGAATCAAACTGTGTTCTTTGCTCCTTACCCTGACAGTCTGAAACGAAAAGAAACCACTGCAAGAAATGGACGTCTTTCCTTTCACCCATTTAAAGGGCAAATATATTCGAAGGGTTTTTGATCTGGGGTCAAATCATAGCCATTTCACATGCGTTTAATAAATAGAAAGAAACCAGATATGCGCCCTCTATTCTCATAGTTTAATATACGGAGAGATCCCTAAAACCTAAAAATCATTAACAGACTCTCCCATACTGACTTTTTCAATTAATCTAAGTAGCTTCTTACATAAAAGCTTGGTTCAGAACATGTGTGTGAAATATATATATACAATGTAAACACACACATATATAATGTATACACACATATATACATATATACTCGCATGATATGTACACATGTTTATGTAATTTGCATAGAGTATGTATTCTATATAAATGTATGTATATACGCCTGTATATGCACATTACATATACTATATATGTATATTTGTATGAATGAGTGCTTATCTTTAGAAATAGCAGCTTCCTTAAGAAATATCTGGAATTAAATTAATTTGTATTAATGGCGTAGCTGGTTATTGGCAGCGGTATCGCCTACAAACTGGCCCGATTCTTAGCGATACAAGGATTCGGGGGAAATCCGCAGCGCCACCTTGTTACACGTTAACATATACTGGTAAAAGCAAATATGGGATCAAAAATATCTTACATACAAATAACCGTAAACAACTGGGGCTTGAGCCTTTTCCCATAGCAGTCAATGGCATTAGGACAAATCTCTTGCAAATTTCCGGCCGATTAAGGAAAACTTCTCTTTCCAGGAATCTGCCTTTCTTTGTGTGAAGTCAAAAGTGAATATGAGATTTGGAGTTATTATAACAACAATATATTTTTGCACTTCCATGAACTGAAAATAGCCAGTAGCCACTGACTGCAGTGGAGTTTGGGGTGCTCAAGGAAAGGAGGAGTGTCTAAATTAGACCGAGTCCAGTGGTTAAAAAAAAAGGTTTAAACTTTTGCACACGAATTATTAACCCCGGGGTTCCTGATGTCAGTGCAGAAGGACCATCATTATGTGAAGCTGTTTTTAATTAGAATTTACAAAGTCCACGAAAAGCAAAATTGAGACTTGCCCTCATATTTCTCATGCAAACTTCCTCTTGAATTCCCGTTGGGAGCTTTGCCTACGTAGAAACATAGTTCTTAAAACCCACCAGGCCCTGCTCTCGGAGTTATGGCACTGATTTCAACTGGGGCAGGATCCGCAGGGACAATCACTTACGCTTCGGTATTTGCAGCAGTGTCCAAAAAATCTTCTTGTTTTTCTTTACAGAGGTATTGTAATACCTGGGCAGAAGGACGGATTAAGGTCACACTCTCTCTAAACGTCCTTGCTCCTTTGAGTTTCACTCGGACGGACAATATTTTTTTTTTGTTCTGCACGCAATTCGTTTTTGGTTTTATAATAATGGGAAAAATAATAATAATAATTTCAAAAATGGACGTTTAACAATGAGTGGCATGATAAACCGAACGGCTCGTGTTATTTAAATGTGTATTAGTGCCCCCCTCTAGAAGGTATATAATAACAAGAAATAATAATAATAATAATTTAGACAGTAGCTTTTCCCTTTTCATGTCTAAAGATCTTGTATGTTGTGAAGGCTATTTGCTTAAAACGACATTAATTAATTAACAGTACTACCTGTTTGAAGCGTGTTTAACCTTAGAACACCCACATAGAATACTCATCGTCCAGTAAACACCCAGAAGAAGGGAGAGGTTGCTGGGAACTAGGAATCTGTTATAGGACTGTCCGGATGGGGTTTGCACATGAATTGTGACACCAGGCACATAGGTTTATTCTCAGCTGTTATTATGCTAGGAAGCCTACATTCCGATTAGTTAGTTGCAATAGGCTTTAGGGCCCGAACCGGCTGCGCTCTCTATTTTAGTCACTGGCCAGGTCTGTCTGAGTAAGGACTGCAGGATCCAGGGTTCTTGTTTGTTTTGTTTTTGTTTGTTTGTGGGGTGTTTTTTTTAATGAGACTCTTCAAATATCCCTGTGGAACATAGTCTCTGTGAATACAACAGACACTTTTCTTTTTTCAGTTCCAGCATTTGGGGAATTGTATTTGCCTTTGTAAAATGACTGGGATGATGGCTGGATTAGGACTAATCCGTTGCAAATTCCTGGCCGATTAAGGAAAACTTCTCTTTCCAGGAATCCGCCTTTCCTTTTGTAAAATCAAAAGTGATGTTGAGGTTTTGAGCTAGAGCAACAATAATTTTTGCACTCCTATGAACTGAAAATAGCCAGGAGCCATTGACTGCAGTGGAGTTTGGGGTGCTCCAGGAAAGAAGGAGGAGCCTCTAAATTAGACCGGGTCTAGCGGTTAAAAAAAGGTTTAAACTTTTGCACCCGAATTATAAACCCCGGGGTTCTGGCTGGCAGTGCCGAAGGAAGCTCACTTTCGTACAGTAGCCGTGATGGCGGCGTGGCAGAATCTCCGAAAGTCTGTGCGCTGGGTGAGAGGCGGCGAGAGGTGTTTGGGAGTTTTAATTTACAAAAAAAAAAAAAAAAAAAACGGGTGGTTTTGTCACTCAAAGGCAGCTCCGATTTTTGTAAAGCATGAAGTTTACAAATCGCCCTATGCCAGTAATCATCAGCCATTGTCACAAATGCACCTGCTGTTATTCCCCTCCCCCCCCCCCGGGCCCATATCATTTCGTCAGTTTTGAGACCTTGATTTCAACTGGGGACTTGCACTCAAACACTGATGGTACAGTATGGCCCGGGGATTTTACTCGGGATCCATACTACACAGTGCGCGTTTTGTTACTAAAACTGATTTACAGGTAACAAGCGGAGCAGCTTCGGACTAGTGTCTTCGCTCTGTGCTGGTGTTTGTAAAGAAACGCTCTTAAAAATCCACCTCGGCCCTGGAATGCCTTTTCCTTGTTAGTTTCATTCTTTAAAGGGCAGAATCCATACCCCTCTGTCAATTTCTTGGGCCGGATTTGTAAACCTTTTGGGATGCAGACAAGGATTTGTCCTGGGGTTTGGGCTCAGTCTGTTTTATTAAAAACCAAATACCCAAACACACCCGTGGTTTCAGTGTTGTCTGGATCTCGAAAGAGAATCCCCGATCCATTAAACCGCTCATCTGTGAGTAAAAGGGGAAGCCTGGGGGGAAACCTGCCTCTCTCCGCCCCCCGCCCCCGTTGTGTTCTGGACAAGAAGATTCTATCGCCTTTCCAGCGTCGCTCCGGGTCCTAGTCCCTGGTGGGTAGATTTTAACTCTCCCTTCTCTTTAGGTGGCTCCTACGTGGTAGAGCAAGAGGAGAATAAGAGGACGAGGACCGCCTACACGAGAGCGCAACTCCTGGAGTTAGAGAAGGAGTTCCTTTTTAACAAGTACATCTCCAGGCCCCGCCGCGTGGAGCTGGCTGTCATGCTGAACTTGACAGAGAGACACATAAAGATCTGGTTCCAGAACCGGAGGATGAAGTGGAAGAAGGAAGAGGATAAAAAGAGGGGAGCGGGGGCCGGCGGAGGAAACAGCAATGACGCTGACCAAGACTGTGTGGTGTCCTCTGGGGAGCTGCCGGGGAAAGAGGAGCTCCAGCAATGCCTGGCCTCGGCCGCCTCCAGAGAGCTGCTCCCCTCCAGCCTTGCTGCCTCCCCCCAGCCTTCTACCACCACCCCGCGAAGGCAGCAGGACGCTCGGTGAAAGGACCCACCCAGGCCTTTGCAGGCGCAGCTTGGAGGGGTAAGAGTTAAAGGAGAGAGGCCAGGGGTGCCAAACCTCTGTGTCATATGGACCCTTGCCACGCGCCCCCGGGGAGCCCCTGTGCTGTATAGTTACACCGGTGTCCGTGTGGAAACATTAAAGGTGTTTGGCTGTAGCAGAGAAAGGCTTGGTGTGGTTTGTGGGGGGGGGGGGTCCTCGCTCTACTTTGTTACCACGTCTGCAAGATCCTGCCTTTAACAAAGAAAATGTCATCTTCTGCAAGGGGCAGCGGGGGGCAGCCTGTCTGGGATTCAGGTCACAGGAGCTCTTCTTGCTCCTGGCGAGGTTGATCTCCGGGGGGGGGGGGGGCAGCTCCCCGGGGCCCGTTATCGGTCCAGCTGCAGCCAACGTTAAAGCACCGCGCGGAGGTTGTAGAAATAGCTGTCCCCACTGGAGGAATACTAAGGCAATAAAAAGACAGGCGCAGTTTTCCGCCCCTGACTATCCCGTGCATCAAAGTAGTAAGCGATGCGTACTGCGCTGCACAAACTCCAGGCAATGGAGATTTGGGGGCGGCAGGGGGAAGCCACAATCCCCCGCTCAGTTTTGATGGAGTTGATTAAACTGAAAATATATGTCTTGCATCTGAAGAAGTGAGGTTCTTACCCACGAAAGCTTATGCTCCCAATACTTCTGTTAGTCTCAAAGGTGCCACAGGACCCTCTGTTGCTGAAAATATATGGTGGGCCCGGGTCTCCAAAGGAGCCGAGCCCCGCGAGCTCCCGCTGACTTCATCTGGAGTTCCGGGGGGTGAAATCCGGCCCGATAGCCACAGTGAAGGTGGTTTTCCGAGAAAGGCACACGAAACATTGGTCACTCTCCTTCCCTTCCTTCTAAACTGGATTTTTTTCCCCTTCTGAGAAAAAACACCAACACTTTCTGCAGGGTGGACTTGTGTTTTCCTGGAGACACGGTGCTGATGACTCAAAACTTCCGTTGGCTAGCTAGCTCGCTAGAGCATTTTCTCGCGCCCGGATGATGTGTGTGGAAATACCTGTCTCTCTATACCAGCTCATCTATAGGTGGGCTTATATGGGAGAAAGCTAAGTTTTGATTAAGCAATTCTCTGTGTCTTCAGAAAAAGGATCGCACGCAGCAGGCTTTGGGGACTATCCTGTGTATGTCAATGACGCTTGCTTGAGATTCGGGCGCGCAGGGCGTTTGTGGAAAGCCTTCCATAGCGAATGTTAAACCTGCAGGGCTTTGGAATTAGTACCCCCCTGAGCTTTACACCCACTGGCACCCGATCCTGCTCTCTGGGGCACCCAGGACTCCCGCACTACAAACTTGGGACGCCCACCGAGTGCAGGATTTGGACCTTGCCCGTGGAGATGCTGAGGTTTAATTAAAAATAAAATTAAACTGAACGTAAGCCAGCTCCGAGTCAGCAAGGAGGATGGCGCTCTCGGCTGTTTTACATTCAGCAAGGACAGGGCAAACCGACTCCTCTCTTCACCCGGAGAGAGAGTTCGCACTGAATGCAAGGCAGGAGAAGAGAATGAAGGGGCAAGTGATCTGAACAAGCGGTATTCTTATTTAATGCACAAGCATCAGCAATTGCCTTTAAATCGCCCTCCACACAATTGAGGGCCATGTTATGCCATCAGGTTTTGAAATGAACTATATTGGCACTATCCGTGCTTTAATGGAGTTTTTGTTTTGTTTGTTATTCTTGTTTCCTATCGGAGCACATTTTAAAGCATTCTGGGGGTTGTGTGCATACGGGCTGTTCAGAAGGCGTGTGAGTAGGAAACTTAACAGCGACAATATCAGTCTTCCTTATTTCCCAACCAAATCCCCCACCCCTGAAGTCCCTGGAGAAAGCCCTCGCTGTGCGTAGAATATGCGTTTTTTCTGCGTTGGAAAAGGTTTTTTGTGTGATTGTTTTCTTAAGAAAAAAATCTGTCTGAGATGAACAAAAAAGTAACTCAAAAGCTGCCTTGAGCAGTGGCTCTCCGCCTTTGCAGACTACTGTACCCCTTCCAGGAGGCTGATTTGTCTTGCCTACCCCCAAGTTTCACCTCACTTAAAAACTATTTAAAAATCAGACATAACAATACAAAAGTGTCACTGCACTCTATTACTGGAAAAACTGGTTACTTTCTCATTTTTACCATATAATTATAAAACAAATCAATTGGGATATAAATATTGTACTTATATCTCAATGTATAGTATATAGAGCAGTACAAACAAGCCCTTGTCGGTATGTTAGTTTGTACTGACTTTGCCAGGGCGTTTTATGTAGCCTGGTGTAAAACTAGGCAAATATCTAGAGGAGTTGATGTACCCCCTGGAAGAGCTCTGCGTGCCCCCAGGGGTACACGTACCCCTGGCTGAGAACCACTCATTGGCTTAGAGCACCAGTCTAATTGAAACCAGCAAGGAAACCAGATGCGACTTGGGACACGCCTGCTGGCAGGGAGCGGTTGCAAACTGCATCGCCGCCCTGATCAGCAAGGAGGAAAATGACAGCATAGGTCGGGTTGTCTGTTTTGGTCCATAGCTAGCGATGAGAGATCCCTGCCTACATCTGGGCTCCTGCTGCACTGGTGTTAGGCGGCCGGGGCTGTGCTTGTCGCATCACCCACAAACCGTTGTGCAAAATGAAGCCAGTTCCCGCGCGCATTAGCTTTTCATACGCACAGGCATAGGGGGAGATCTAGGTGTATATTCTCTTCGCCGCGCCTGTACTAGGGCAGGCGGGATTTAGGTCTGTGTAAATCGAGCACAAACTCTGTCCAAGTTTTTGAGATTGCAAAATGTGTACACAGGGGGAGATTTTGTATTTCCTTTAACAGGTGGCGCTCACCCTGCCACTGGGTAAAAGGCGCGTTTGGAGAGATGGGTTTGAGCGCCTTCCTTGCAGTCTACTGTTTGGCGCGTCCGAGCGTGCAGGGCGCTGGTTGCACCAGTGATCAGCAGCTGGGTTTCAGAAGCCCAGGCCCGAGTAGCCCGTGTCTATCTGCGACTGAAATCGAGCTTTTTTTTTTCCCCTCCTGACTCAGTATTTGCCCATTACGGGAAACTCCTCGGTATCCCAACAACCGCAGAACAGGCACTTGGTGGGAAAGGAACGTGATATTTCAGCAGCTACCCACCTAAAAGGGGGGGAAATTAAATTAAGTAAATAAGTAGCATAACGGATCAGTTCATGTTAACAGTCACTTTGCAGTTAGTTAATAGGAGTTTCACCTGCATACAGACTGCAGGCTCGGGTCCCAACTACTCTATATTAATAGATGAGATGTGTCATTTAAAATCTTCTATGCAGGCAAGTTGAGACAGTCAGATACTGGTGGCAGGCTACCAAAATACCCACTCTGCTACTATAACTAGACACGGAGCAGCAATCGACTCTTCGTTCCTTGCGCTGCTGGATAAATCCTGAGATCAATGCAAATTTTAGTTTCAAGTCTTTGACCAAAGAAAGAAAGAACCAGTGATGTAGCCAATAAAATACCTGCAAATAGAGGCATCAAGTAGTAATGCCCAGTAGAACGCAAGTTTATTCAAATGTCAGCCTGAATTTCTTGATTATTACCTATTATTATTTGAATGTTCTTAACACCCAGGCGCTCAGCCATGGACCAGATCTACTTTCCAACTTTGTCGGAACAGCTCCGCATGGGCAGCTCCCTAAGCCCCAAAGCTTCGAGACTTGGCTCTGATTTTTCAGCTCTGGAAAACACTAATACATTTCACTAATTAAGTGAAATGACTCGTGGTGGGACCAGGCTGGGCTCAGGATTTGAGGTCCAGACGGTGTGACTCTAACCAACCAGAGCATCCCTTGGTAATGTTTCTGCCCTTCTTCCCTGGAAGATGTTGGGGTCCTTTGGGTGTTCCCTGCGGACTTTGTTCGGCTTGGCTGCTGTATTTCATACCAGCAATGGGAAGGGGGCGAGAATAACGCAAAGGGGCCAGGCACACTGCGGTGAAATAAGAATGAAACTGCGCAAATAGGAAGCGGCAATCGGGAGACCTTTCCCGGCCCGGAGTGTAAACGTCTTATTTGGCTGAGCCACTAAATCGGATTCGAGTCACCGCACCTTCCCTCTCCTCTGGACGCGCTTCTCAGCGAATCAGGTTGGACGCCCTGCGCTGGGTCCCGGGCAGCCACAGCGCCCCTGGCCTGAGTCAGTCCGGCCGGATCGGGAGATCCAGACCCGGCCAATAGGGTCCCTGGGGCTGACGCAGGAAGGTAACGAGGGGCATCCGAGAGCCGCCTGCCGAGCTAGAAATGTGCGCTCACCCGCGGATCTACACCAGTGCACCCGGCTTTCCCGGGGCGCTTGCAACCCCTCGGGGGATAATTTGATCCCAGCTCCAGCGCCGGGGCTGGAGCCTCAGGCAGGCCTGGATTGATTCCCCCTCCCTGGCTTGCATTACCCCCGGCAGCCTGGCGCCGGGGGATGTGGATTGATCCCCACTCTCTGCAGCGACAGGGCTGGCTGGAGACCAGGAACAAGGGGCAGCCCAGTGTGGAGCGGCCCGCAGTGCCGGGGTATGGGCAGAGCTGGGATCGCCCACACTGGGCTGCCTAGCCGGAGAGATACACGCCGGGCTCAGGCCCACGGCCCTAGCAGCTCGCTGGGGGCTGCGGGGGAAAGCCCTTGGCGCTAACCCAACGCGGCATCTCTGGGCTGCGCTGGCAGCCGGAGCGCAGCGGGGCAGGCGAAGCGGAATCGGAGCGCAGAGCGCGGGCGTTAGGCGCAGGTTAATGAGCATTGGGTGGGAGAAAGAAAGCCTCGCGCGTTGGTTAGTTTATGTCTGTTGATTTCTCAGCGAGGTGCTGGGGGGGGGGGGAGCGAGCGCTAGGGGCCTCGGCCGAAATACAAGGAGAGAAATCAAAGCAGCCGCTGCACCTCGCCCCCAAGCAAAGAGAAGGAGCAGCCACGGTAGAACCAACCCCCCTCAACTCGCCAATCTGCGCCAGCAGGGAGCGCCGGACCTCAGTGGGTACCCCCGGTGCAGGGCTCGGTCTCCATACCAGGGGATCCGTGCCTGACTCTGCCCTTTCCTCTGCAAAAACAGGGCAAGGGGGAGAGCCTCGCAGAGGACTCCCAGGGTCATCAGCGCCGTAGCCTAGCAGCCCCAAATGAGTCTGGGACCCCATT